ATATATATATATATATATACACATACATACTCCTTTTCATATTATTTTTCACTATAGGCTATTACAAGGTATTGAATATAGTTCCCTGTGCTATACAGTAGGACCTTGTTGTTCATCTATTTTATATATAGTAGTTAGTATCTGCAAATCCCAAACACCCAATTTATCCCTCCTTCCCTTTCCCCTCTGGTAACCAGAAGTTTGTTTTCTATGTGAGTCTGTTTCTGTTTTGTAGATAAGTTCATTAGTGTCTTCTTTTTTTCTTTTTTTAGATTCCACGTATAAGTGATATCACATGGTATTTTTGTTTCTTTTTCTGGCTTACTTCACTTAGTATTACAATCTCCAAGTCCATCCATTTTGAGGCATAAAGCATTATTCTTATAGCTGAATAGTAGTCTGTTGTATACATATGCTACAACTTCTTTATTCAGTCATCTGTTGATGGACATTTAGGCTGCTTCCGTATCTTAGCTATGGTAAATAGTGCTGCTATGAACATTGGGGTGCATGTATCTTTTCAAATTAGAGTTTTCTCCAGATATATGCCAGACATATTAAGTGTTCCTCTATTCACAGATACCATCATTATATTGATAACAGCATTTAGATAAGTTACACTACCTTGCTTATATAAATCACAATTCAGGAAACATCCTTGAACACATATTTTTCAGAACATGTGTGATTATCTTAGTATAAATTCTTTAAGGATTTAGTTATTTCTGCATCAAAATATAAGCACACATTTAAATTGTTGAGATGATTTGCAAAAGTGCCCTTTAGAAATTCTATACTACTTAGCTTTATTTCAAAGCTGAAAGAAAGCCTGCTTATTAAAATTTAATATAGTCATTAATCCTATTATTTTTCCTAAAATTTCTATACCTCAGGATAGTGATGAACAAAAGACTCTGGACTTTAGACAGCTTCCTTTGAGTGGTTAAGAACGTCAGCTTTGTACATAAAAAGCAAACTATGGTCACCAAAGAGGAAAGGCAGGTGGAGGGATAAATTAGGAATTTGGGATTAACAGATACACACTACCACATATAAAATAGATAAACAACAAGGACCTACTGTATAGCGCAAGGAACTATATTCAATTTCTTGTAACAAGCTATAATGGAAAAGAATCTGAATATATATATATATATTATGTATGTCTGTGTATAACTGAATCACTTTGCTATACACCTGAAACTAACATTGTAAGTCAACTACACTTCAATAAAAAATAAAATTTTAAAAAAAGTCAGCTTTGTGCTTGGCACACTTAAAAATAATCTTATATAATCTTTCAGAATCAATATTTAGACCATGTCTAGGGAATCTAATATTCAATTATTAAATTAAATATTCTCTTTATTGTTTACTTTGTAACCCTATAATATTGTAAGAGTAAACACAAATTAATAAAGTTGGTAAGAAGAGAAGAAAAAAGAAATTTTGATTCCAGTTTTCAATCCTATCAAGCTTTATAACCAGTATATTTTCCCTATACTGGCAAGATCCTCATCATTCACTTACATCTTTGCCAAGCTGGTAGATTTTAATTTTTATTCCATTTCTTATTCCACATTCTCATTTTTGTTCACATTTGTTGCTAACTTATTTGTTTGACATTTAACCTATGTGTCAAAGAATTTACAAAAATAATTGCACACGTTAAAGGAGCAGCTTGGAGCAAGAGATGTGTAAATACAAGTGGGCAAGAGACAATATGATTGAGAACCACAAGGAACAGTAGGTAGTACAAAGAGGCTCCTAAAACTTCAACAGTGTAGTTATGAAACATAGAAAATAAAACAACCTGGACTATTTTGTATAAACAGAAAAGTGACGAGCCTGAAAATGCCGTGATGGAGTAGCGAGGATCAGATTTACTCTCCTGACTTAAACAACCACGAATTCAGATAAATGTATAAAACCACGGTGTTCAGACCTTGGACATCAGGCACCACAAGAATTGTGACTTCTAAGAGAAGGGAAACAAAAGCAGTGAGGCCTGCAATTGTCCAGCTTCCTTCCTGGAGAGTGTTTCCAGGACACGGTGGGGGGAAGGGGGAGCTCTAATGGCCCAGTCATCTCACTGAGTTAAGAGGACAGAGCCGTGAATTGTGGAGGCCAGGCCTGCCAGAATATGCAAAATGAAGGCTCGAGGAGAGGAACGCTGAACACAAAAAGCACTGCGAGTCTGCAGAGAGTTCCCCTCAAGTCTTTAGCTCATCAGTGCATGCATGTAAGGAAACTATCCAAGGACAGGGGGAAGAATAATCCAGAAGGATAACAGAGACAGTACACAGTGTTCCACAGGACTAGGAATAGTCCCTGTTCCCAGCCAGTCTGGAAAGCTTCATAATTTGCTGGGCATTGGATAGAATATTCAGAAGGATCTTTTGTCTGTATTTGGGAATAATTATCCCTGGACTAAATACTTTTCAGTTTTACCTAGCAAATATTAAAAGTAAGGCCCAGAAAGATCAGTCTGTTTTTCAGTAACTTCATTTGTCCTAGAAATAAAAGCTGAAAAAAATTTATGGAATGCAAATGTATCTGCCTTCTAACCTGGTAAAATCATAATCTCTGATATCAAATTAAAAATAACCAGGTATACAAGATAATACAACTTGTAAGGCAGAGAAAAGCAATCAGTCTAACCCAGAACAGACACACACAGATGTCAGAATTAGCAATGACATTAAAAGTTACCACAAATGTATTCCTTATGTTCAAAAAGTTTTATCTAAGAGACATGAAATAAGAGACCACAAACTTGTAAAGATGAAAATGTCCAAGAAAAATGTACTGCATGTGTATTGGTAGATCAGTAGATTGTGTTGGATGTGTAATGGTAGATTTGATAGTGCAGAAGACAAGATCAGTGACCTTGAAGACATTAAAATAGAAACTTTCCAAAATTATATGAAGTAATCATTATTACTTCATATTAGATTATGTATTATTAGATGTGTAACATATGTTCAAGCAAGATTACCTATAATAGCCAAAAAATAGAAATGGCCCAAATGTCCATGAACAGGTGAATGAATAAATAAAAGGTGATATATCCACACCATGCAATATTATTCGGCCATGGAAAGGAATGAAGTACAGATTCATGCTACAATGGGGATGAACTTTTATTTTAAAATATTTTGCTGTGTGAAAGCAATCAATTACAAAAGACCATATACTGTATTATTCCATTTATTTGAAGGGTCCATAATAAGTAAATCTATAGAGACAGAAAGTAGTGGTTGTCCAGGGTTCAGGGAATGTTGGAGGGAAACGGGGGTGACTGCCTAGAAATAATGGATATGTGGTGGTGGAAATGTTCCCCAAAAATGTTTCTGGAGTGATGAGAATGTTCTAAAATTGATATGGTGATTATTGCACAGCTCTGTGAATGTAATAAAAAAAACATTGCGTTTAAATGATTGAATATTATATGCGAGTTATATCTCAATAAACTGTTCTAACAAAAGTGATGGCTCACATTTAATGAAGTAAAGATGTCAGAACTGCCATGGTGATCATAAAGAGATCAAAAGGCTCAGAGAAGTCGGCATGCCAGTCTGAATCTACTCTAAAAACCGGAAAACACACAAGGTGACTATTTTGCTTGGAAGAAGCCAAGGGATACTCTGTTTATCAGGCAATAAGGAATGAGCAAGTAAGTGCCATATCAACCTCATTGTGTCTGTCCTTGGTAAGCTAGGGCTGACTCGAGGAGATTCCAGAACCTGGCTCCTGAGCATCAATGGGGATATTAGGATCCCAGAAAGCCAGAGGACAGGTGACAGCAAGGTAGAAGCAAAGTGTGCAGAATTAGCCAAAATAGCCAGCAATGTAAGAATTTAAGCCA